TCTTGGGATCAGAAGTTATCATTGTTCAATGAATAACTTTCTCTAACTGTCACCAAAAGTTGCATAGCACTCAGTTGCGCTTATGGGTGATGAATGACACTCTCAATTTCTTCATAGTTTTTTGTGATTAACCATTTCTCTAGTGTCTTTTTACATTCAATATGTGATAGAGGGTAAATATTGAGTTTTTTATTAAGTTTATTATATATGTAAGCAGACTGACTGTTATATTGCCTCTTTGCAAATACCGATCTAACCCGAGGCTGTGGAACAACATTAACGATCGTCCTACGATTGCTTTTTTTTGGGTCATAGGAAATCGACTTGTGCTTTCTAATGACAATGCGTAGTAGGTACAACTTTCTTACAGATAAGATACCACTATTCAGATATAAGTTATCAGTTGGGGATCTATATGGTAAGAAGAACATTACTTTCAGAAGAGCTCTTTGTGCTCTTTCCAGATTTAAGAAACTAGTTTTTATCGCACCTCCCCAAACTGATATGCAGTAGGTAATAACTGATTCGGCAAGTGGGCGGTAGATTTTACGTAGAAGGTCCAGTCGAGCCACGTGTCGCAGAGTCTTAAATGACCACATTAATTTCCTAACTCTGCTTGTGAGTTGCTCTATATGCTGATGCCAGGACAATCGCTGATCCAACATTACACCAAGGTATCTCGTATTAGAAACCTTTTTTAACTCAAGACAAGAGCAATCCGAGACCGAGTGATTATTGCAATAATGTAGCTTAATATTAAAGTAATCTGGGGGCTGCGCGTTGTTGTATTTGGTAAAACATATATAGTTAGTTTTAAGTAAATTTAAAGTGAGTAGGTTTTTGTTTAACCAGGATCCTAATTTTACTAAGCCAGTCTCCACACGATTTTTAAGTTGCTGCCAATCATTAGCAGAGAAAACAATAGCTGTATCGTCCGCATATGAGAAGATGTCACCACCCTCTATCTGCATATTACACAAACTATTGATGTAGACCAAGAACAAAGTGGGACCCAACACACTGCCCTGCGGGACACCATATGTGACAGTAGCCTCAGAACTAGTTATTGAGCCGATTTTGACACGAGTTTTACGATTGCTGAGATAGTCACCAAGAAGTTTTAGCGGAATACCTCTAACACCATGATTGTTAAGGTTTTGTAGTAGAATAGGGACGGTAACTGTGTCGAAGGCCTTTTTTAAATCTAAGAAGACAGCTAGACATTTTCTTCCGTAATCAACATGGTTTACCGTACGGGAAGTCAGTGCTATAATTGCGTCTTCCGTAGATAGATTCTGACGGAAGCCGAATTGTGATGTTGAAAGTATATTAAATTTTGAAAAGAACTTTATTAATCTAATGTTTATTAATTTCTCAAGTATCTTTGCTATTACAGATATTACCGATATCGGCCTATAGTTTGAAGGATTAAACTTGTCACCACTTTTATATACAGGTGTGATAATAGTCTGTTTAAGAGCTAACGGGAAGACGCCTTGTTCAAAACAAAGGTTAGCTAGGTGAACAAGAATTGGTATAATCTCTTTATGGGCACTTTTTAGAAAATGAGCTGGTATATTGTCATAACCAGGGGCACTGTCTGATTTCATGGACATGAGCAGACTATATATCTCTTCACGGTCGGTGTCAAAAATAACAAAAGATGTAACTTGAGTATTTGTTATGATATTATTATTAGTAGCTTGTTGTGTTGTGTTTTTAATATTTCCTTCTGCTAACTGTTGCCCTACCGTAGCAAAGTAGCAGTTAACAGTGTCAACAGATTCCTGGGGGGATAAAGTTAGTTTCAGAAGATCCAGGCTTTGAACTTTGGCAGGTTTGCGTTGAGTAAGACTATCGATCGTCTGCCATAGTTTTTTTGGGTTTCTGATAGCTAGTTTTAGTTGATTTTTGTCATAGTTACGTTTTAATTTTTTAATCAAGCAATTACAAAAATTACGGTAACGTTTATATGTGATTTTGAAAATCTCGTTTTCTGGATTTAATTTTACCTTACGTTGCATATCGTTCCTATTTTTAATGCAGCGGAGAACTCCCAGGGTAATCCAAGGTTTGATTATTCTATTTTTTCTAGGAATCGAAATTTGTTTCATGTTGGATTGAAGGCACTTCTGCATAGTTAATGTGAGCTGCTCTACTATGAAATTCGGGTCGTTAACTGTTAATAAGTTAGATAAATCTGTGGTTTTTAGAGTTTTAAGTGCTTCTTCGAAGTTTGTAGTTAATTTAGTTTTCTTTTTAATATTGATATTTATATTTGATATTTTAACCAAAATTGTAAAGTGGTCTGTGATACTGGAGTCAATAACTGCAATGGACGCTGTTTTATAACCTTTACTAAATTTTATTATGAAATGATCAAGACAATTTTCTCCTCTTGTTGGTAGGAGATGTCCTGGTAGCATTCCGTGCATGGCAAGCATATTAAGATAATTTGTTCTATTATTGCGTTCATGTGTTGTTTCATCCGTTTTAAATATTAAGTTAATATTTATGTCACCTGTAATAATTACATTACTGCATTTATTCATTCTTCGTACTCGTACCTGTTGCTTTCAGTCGCCGACCTGGGTATTCTACGTCCGGCGTAAAGGAGATATCTTTCGACACCCACGGTATGGAATGTGTGATGGAATCTCTTATGCAGACTCCACACGGTAATCACCATTGTTCGACTTTTCAAGTTTAGGAGACCTGTAAACTTAATAAGTAAAAATTAAAAATTTTGTATTACCGACTTCAATATAAATTATTAATAATAACTCAAAAACTATTGGTTAGACCTTGATCATATTTATATAGGACCACACGAAAAGCACCAGTTTCAAATAAAAAAGGAGGTAACACACATAAAAAAGGGCATACAGCCGAATTGAGTACCGTCTCCTTTTTGAAGTCGGTAGAAAAATGGAGTTTAAAGTTGAACACTATTTTAAAGTTGCTTTCTATGAAATAGCGTTTAATAAAACTGCACAAATAAAAACAGAACAATGTCTGAAGTTATCTAGACTATATTTTAAAATAAAAACTTTTGAAAAAAGAGAAATATTGATAAA